AAGAGGAGAATCACTTGATCGTTTTGATGTACGTTGATGATTTGCTGGTTGTCGGAGACGATCGAAATATTCAGAAGCTCGTTGATGAATTATCAAAGAAGCTTAGACTGAAAGTCACCGGAAAGCTTGAAGAAGACAGAATTCGTTTTCTGGGAAAGGTGATCGAAAAGGAAGAAGATGGAACGATTGCCTTGTACATGGAGAAAGAGTACTATGAAGGTATGATGAACTTGTATCCAGGAGGAAAGGAAAGTCAAGCGACCCCCAATTTGTTTCAGCTTTACGATCGTGATCGAGAAGAAGATCGGAAACCGTTGTCACCCGAGGCAGCAGCAACTTTTCGAACCGCACTAGGTAAGCTAGGTTGGGTAGCTCAGTCGAGACCTGATCTTTGTTGGTTGTGTTCGACGCTTGCCCGAGGTCAATCTCAGCCGCTAGCTGTACACGAGACTGCAATGCGTGCGAGTATCCGTTACATCCGATCAGTAGCCGATCGAAAGTTGAAGTTCAGAAGCTATGAGTACTCAGGACCACCAAGGATTACGACCTATGTCGATGCCAGTTGGGCAGCCGAAAAGTCCACCAATAGGAAGAGTACATCAGGAGCAGCCATCTTCGTTAGTGACTGTTGTGTCAAAGCATTCAGTAGGTTGCAGCAGAGTGTAGCCTGTAGTTCAGCCGAGGCAGAGCTATATGCTTTATTCGAAGGAGCGAAAGAGACTATAGGTATTCAACATGCTGTGGCACATGTCTATGGATGTCAAGCTGAGGAATTGCCCATTCCAGGTTTGCTTACGGATTCGATGGCAGCCCGACATGTCACAGAGATGTCAGGGTTGTTGAGAAGATTGAGACACATAGACATTCGAATCTGTTTTTTGCAAGATGCAGTCTACAAGGGAGTAATTTCCATCAGCTTTGTCCGAGGTACCGAGAATTGTGCCGACTTGATGACCAAGGCATTGTCGAGAGCTGTGACTTTACAACATATGGAGACGATCGGAGTTGTCAGAGCATTTCTCATTTCATTTGAAGTGCCATATGACTGGATCGGGAGATGGTTGTGGATTATGGATAAGGTCACATGTACCGAAATCCTGATTGTTGAGTTTTGCACATCACCGGAGTCCGAGATGAAAGAAATCGGAAGCCGTACGGAAGGTGTTGAAGTCTTGACTGTCACTGAGGCGGATGACGGAACCCGATTGGACACGATCGAGTCGATTCGGGAGCAGATGATAAGCCATCGGAAGAGAGGAAAGCTTGTCGTCTTGTGGTCGTCGATTCCGTGTACAGGAGGATGTCCGTTTCAGTACATTTGTATCAAGAAGTTTGGTCAGGACTATATGGGTCATCTTCGAGAGTTGTACCAAATTCAGAAGAAGCTATGGAAAGGTTTCTTACGGATGTCGGAAGTAGCCGATTTCGTAGCGATTGAATGGCCGAAGAGATGTGCTTATTGGGGGTGGAATCAGACTAAAGATTTTCTGAGGAAACGAAAGACGTTTTCAACATTTGTGGATGCTTGTTCAGTCAAGTTGAACCAGAAAGGTCAGTTGGTCAGAAAGACCTGGAGGATTGAGACAGATAGTACTCGGTTGTTGGAAAGCCTGAAGGTTTGCGTTTGTGATGGTCGTCATGATCATTTGCCGTCCAAGGAAGTCAATTGGAAGGAAACGCAACACTACCCCAGGAGATTTTGCGAGCTAATCCTTAAAGGATTTAAAGCCGAATTAGAATCATAATAGCCAAGTAAGTCTTGCACGTTGTCTGAGCCGAATGGCACGTTTTTGCGAGCACTTTCGATTGCGCATTTCGAAAGAATCTTGGTTTTTGCAGACTGTGAGATACAGCTTTTCTTGGAATGAAGCTTATATCATCCGAGGTATGATGCCGGATGCGGAAACGGCGCTTGCGATGCTGAGCCTGGAAGCAGCGACCGCTTTGGTCTTTGCAGCCGGTTTTCTTTTGGGATGCCTGCTGACCTGCTGCTGCCTGCGGTGTCGGAAGCATGCTGAGCCTGAGAGCCAAGTGACTTTTAAAGTCGATATGCCGAAGAGCTATCCAATTCCAAAAGGCATTGAGCAATGCTCAAAAGTGTATTTTTCAGTGAGTGGGAGCAAGGTTCATTTGAATCCAACTTGCTCGGGCATGAACGTACCTATGTCGAAAGATATTTGTGCCAAATGTCTGTCCTCATTGAAGAAGAATAAGAAGGCTTAAAGCCAGCCAGTTCGTTTCGAGCTTTGTGTCCAAGAGGGGGTGAAGAAATTCCATGTCGGGATGTCCACCTCGCTCGATGCTTGCAGTTTGCGATGCATAAATTTCGTTTAAGTTTGTTTGTGAAAGATTTGGAACCTGGCGGTAGTTCAACATTTTGTTTCTTAATTGTTTGAAAGCGACTTGTAGCGTAGTCGGAAGTTTTGAAAGAGTTCTTTGTGTGTGGAGATGCTTTTAAAAGACTTTTAATATGTTTTGTGTATTCTTTGTATAGTTTAGTGCTACGGGATATGTTTTGGCTCAAGGCCAATTCCTTTGGCTAGCGTGAGAAAAGGGTGCGAGTGTCTGAGAGCAGCTAGTGCAGCATTTGAAGTTTTCCGAAGTATTCGGAGGTTTGAGAGAAAGGTTTCGTACCGTACCGGACGAGTGTGAGAGCCTGTTGTGAGCTAAAGATCCAGGGGAGGTAGGTAGTCTACCGTATAAGGTTGCTACCCGGAGTTTTTCGTGATTAGCGGTCAGCAGCGCAGCGGAAAGCTTCAAGCAATCATCGAAGCCAACTCACTTCTCAAGTTCGCCAAAGTAAACGCCGACATGACCTTGAAGTTCGAGCCCTTCGAAACCGCCAAGAAGCAAGGTGACCTCCACAAGATCCGGTTGGTGATCATGTTTGATGCATCACATGCTGCAAGAGAAGATCACACTTCTCAAGGTGGCATGCTGGTTCCTGAGGAATTCTTTGAGCAAGAGACGCCCTACCATGTTGTTGATTGGCGAAGCTACAAACTTCCTCGCATCGCCCGCTCAAGCCTCAGTGCAGAAGCTCAAGCAGGAGGTGGTGCCAGCGATACGGCAGAGTTCATCAGCCGCTTCTGGTCGATCATCTTTGATCCAAAAACTTCCCCTCGAGAACGACTACATGAAGTGTCAGCATTGAAGCCAACGCTGATCACAGATGTTAAAAGCACTCTACGATGCTTGGCACAAGGAGACAGCAACCTCAGCAAGCTCCTCCGTGGACAAGCGCACCTACTTGGAGATCAAAGTGGCCAAACAACAAGTATGTGAACTTGGGGGCTGCCTAAAGTGGATCAGCTCTGAACGACAGTTCGCAGATGGCCTGACGAAGAGCTCGGGACCCTCACTACACCGCCGCCAAGAAGAAGAGCAAGCAGGAGAGGGAAGCGAGTCGACAAGAGTTCGCTGACCCCAAGTCGAGAAAGAAGAAGAAACCCACAAAGAACGAACGCACCACCAACAACCTACTACTCAACCACACCGACAACCTCGAGAGCGTGCAGGAAGAACTCCTGGACAGTTCACCCAATGAGAACTTTGCTGCAAGGTCTGGCACCTCACAACCTTGAGATCCCCGATGGCACTACTGGTCTTCTTCAGCCAGCTTAAGGCTGTTACTGCAGAGTTCTTCGGTCACCATGCGCAGATGGATGATGCAGGAGTCTGCACCATGCTGATCGTCATCCTCATTCTGTGCTACCTGTCCTACAAGCTCGGAAGATTCCTGGAGCGAAAAAGCCAGGTGTTGCAAATGCTCGCAACCAGCGACACTTTGATGCCGCCTTGGATGAGCAGAACCTTCGACTGGACCACCGAATGGCTCAGTAGAGAACGACCTCGTGAAAGCTGCCGAGACCAACTTCGAGAACAAAAGACACCGCAATGAGATGATGGAACAATGGAACATCGAGCAGCAAGAAGCCGAGACCATCGACCAAGCTTGTCAGCAATGCCAAGGACTACTTTGGCGGTGCTACAACGAGCTCCTGTACCACCTTGAAGAGGAATGCCCCACTGAACATGGAGTTCTCGCCCTTTTGGCCATGTCTGGCACACCACCTCTGAGTGCCAGGGTTTGAAGCAAGCCCATCGAGTTGACCGCCGACCTGTCTGCCACCATTGCGAGCCCCTTCCGAGGACTCCGAACGTGGTCAACGGCCTGAGCGGCACCACCCTCGCTCAGGACATGGGAAGCTGGCGCCAACAATGGGGCTTCCTAAGCTATGAAGCTTGGATGACCGACTGACGGCCTGCCGCCTGAGCATTTTTTTTTGAACACCATCCACCGGTGTGAGTTTCTGTGAAAGACTCAAGCCACGGACATGAGATGTCCATATGGATGTTTGTTTCATGAGTTCCACTCCCTTGGCCATATGGCCCTGAACCACCTATAGCGGTGGGAGCTGACAGCGCACTTTGAGCAATGGCGTAGAAAAGGAGCGAAGACTTTGGGTGCTTCGTTCGAACCTCTCATCCAGAGAACCTCGTTTGTCTCTGGAGCCACTTGGGCTATCTAGCTTTGCTACCTCTGTCCAAGTGACAGGTGGTGTTTTTTCTTGGGCAAGTGTTCTTTCCTACCAGTGATGCGCAAGTGCACAGTGGCTTCGCAGGTCAACATTCAACTTCTGCGGTTGCACCCTGCACATTGCACAGAACACTCTCCTACTGTGATTGCACCGAGGCATCATGCCACTGAGGCTGTATCAGATAAATCAACTCACATGAACAATTTGTTTTTCAGTTGAAGCGGTTGCAACCGTGATTGTCAAGGTGTGTGTTTCAAGCAGTTGAAAAGGGTAAGAACTAAAGGAGAAACCTCAAAGTTGCCAACCAAGTGGGTGGTTCTTCTGCTGTTGACCATGAGTTGGGGTGGTGCAAAGAGGTGGTCATTATTGATAAGCTCGTCGAAGACGATCGTTCGGTCTCGAGAGAGTTTAAGCGACATCAGGAGCGGATGGCATTTTCAATTTGCAATGTTTGGCTTAAAGGGTAGGGTGGGTGGGCTTGCTTTTCTCCCGGCCGAGAAGTGAGCCATGGGGGTGTTGGCTTCTTTTTGATGGACATAGGAGATTCTGCACCTTTGCATGAAGTTGAATCGATGTCTGGCTTTGACGATCTCGAGTTTCATGATGATTCTTTTGTGCCAGGCGGTTCGATGGTTCAGGAGTCTTCACCTCAGGTGGCTGCTCAATACGAGATCTTTTCGGCCGATGGAGATGAGCCAGCACTTCAAGCTGAACAAGACTATTTTGTTCAGGCCTCAAGCAGTTCATTGAACCAAACTGCTGTTGATTCAGTGACTTGGAATGGTATGATTGCATCAGCATATGGACAGTACAAAGCATTGGATGAGACCCTGAAGTTTCCCTGGGAAGTTGGTGCTTGTGCTGGTGTGTTTCGTAATGACCCGCCAGTGAGCTTTCCTTCGATTCAGCCGTTTGTTGAGTCCATTCCACCACAACACGTTGACGAGTCTGGAGTGCAAGGTGACCGTGTTTCATTTTCTTTGCAGGTTGGTTACATGCATGCTATCTCTGATATGAGGGATCTAGATTACTTCGAAGAGAAGCTTGAGCAGTTGGAGCTTGCGTGCGGCAAGTGGATGGACATTTTGTCTACCCATTGGGAAGCATCCACCGTAGGAAATCAAATCTGCCAGGATCTTCGTTCGGACCCCAGTGGCGGTGAAGCAGTTGAAACTCTCAAAGCATGTTTTGGAACAAAGAGCCCCAACACTTTGTTGAAACGAGCTGCAACATTGCGTAAGTACCTGGTGTGGCATTACAATGAGTTCAATAGCAGAGGAGTGTATGTGCATGCTTTCCCATTGGTGGAGTCTGATGTTTGGAACTTCTTCAAGTGGTTGAGAGTTGAGCGACAACAGAAGTCGAGAGGTTTCACAACGACCTCAACTTTTCTTGAGACCGTTAGGTTTTGTAAGTTCACAGTCGGACTTCAAGGATGCGATGTGGTCCTAGGCTCAGGTCGGCTACTGGGCTTTGCTGCAGTGGAACTTCCCAGGCCCCGATTCTTGAGCTTGTTCATTTGAAGAAACTTCATGAAATTCTTTCTTTGGGAAGCGACCTCATTGACCGTTTGGGTGCTGGCGCCATGTTAGTCTGCATCTATGGCAGAGCTCGTTGGTCCGACTTGCGATACATTGACCACGTTGATGTTGAGGCTCGGCGCAACGGATCCTTGGTCCTGTATACTCGTGAGCACAAGACATCCGCTGTTGGGATACGTCGTGAACAGTATCTACCGCTCGTCATCCCTTGGGAAGGTGTGGTCAGCGAGGATTGGATCGAGGTCTTGTTGAAGGTCTACGAGGAAGCTGGTTTAGATATGACCAAGGTTCCTCTCGGGCCCTTGCTCCCTGCTCCAAAAATAGGAGGAGGCTTCTGCGCGAGGCCGTTGAGCACCCAAGAAGCAGCTCGGTGGTTGCGCCTTCTTCTTTCAGGGACGCCAGGTTCAGAGAAGATTCGTTGCCATTCGCTGAAAGCTACTCTCTTGAATTGGTGTGCAGAGGCTGGCTTAGACAAAGAGGTTCGTGCAGTGCTTGGCCATCATAGCACTGCATTGCATGGTAGTGACATTGTATATTCACGTGAGCTTCAAGTCAGGCCGCTCAGGAAGTTGCAGATGTTGCTCAAAAGCATTCGCATTGGCTTGAACCTTGAGGACAGCGTCACAAGGAACTCTGTTGGCTGCAACCCCAGGTGCGACCACTCCGAGGCCTAACGTGTTCACTCCTCCTCTTCCAGTGCCTGCAAGAGTTGAACAAGTTCATAATCCTGCAGAGGAGCAAGTTGTTGAACAGGCGGTTGAGCTTGTAAACGTTGAAGAAGAAAACGAAAGCATAAAAGAAGAGATTGAAAACATCACAAATCTTGAAGCTTTTGCCTGCGACTTGAGCCTTTTTGGTGAAGAAGCTGTTCGACAAGGCGCAGTGCCAATCGACAGTTCAAGCGGAAGTGACGAAGAGTCTGAAAGCAGTTCATCTTCAAGTGAGGAACTGAGCTCATGTCGTGGCAAAGATTCTCTTAGAGAAGTCGTGCCGGCAGGTTCTGTGTACTACAAGCACGTGAAGACCTCAAGGGTCCATCGTGTGCGTGTTGGCAAAGAGACCACAAATTGTGGTAAGAAACTGAATGAGAACTTTAAGGAGCTTGAGCCGGTCATTTACATAAGGCTTCCAAAATGCCTGATTTGTTTCCCAAGTGCCGAAGGGCGAGTTAGGACGCGTGAAGACGCCATAGCTCGTTTCGACGCAGCTCTGAAGAGGGCGCGCGTTTGACTTGCGACCGAAGTGGTCAAAAACAGCTTGCGCAGAGTGCCAAGTTTGGTGAAGTACCATTTTATGCTTAAGAGCAGACTTCCTTTATGCTTAAGAGCAGTTACCAGAAAGCTGGTTTTGTACATGGAATGCCATGTGCATTTGAGACTTGTTTTCAGTTTCATGGGAAGCCATGCACTGTTCCGTTTCATGGAAAGCCATGCGTGAACTTCGGCTCGAAGGAGCACAAGAGACATATTGAGTTAATGGCCGGAAATTTTCCTTTCAGTGCTTGTTCAGCTGTTCATGTTCTTCATGTCAATCTTTTTGTTTTGGTTTTTGCACTTTCAACCTCGCGCGATGTCGAGTGTCGTTGACAGTGAGGCACACTTTGACCTTCGTTTGAGTGAGCTTGGATTGAGTGATCCTTTCATAAATGCACTGAAGAATGGTGGGATCAGGACCTTATCTCATTTGGCCTTTTCCATAGGCCAACCCAATCAGGTGCTTTCCAACGATGATGTCACCAATTTTCTTCAGGGCCTCCTCGGGCGCGCTCCGTCGCTCGTTGAGAGTAGCAGTACAAAGAGGCTCACTTTTGAAGCGCAGACATATGTTGTGGCTACTCTCCGACAAGGGCTTGAGCAGCAAGATGAGGCTGTACCAAGGAGAGTGGCCCATGCAGAGAGGACCACAAGGATGAGTGCACTTCAGTTGGCGTTGTCCGGAGTCTCAATTTCTGGAGAACTTGACCCTGCACACATTCTTCTTGACAAAGCAACTGCCATGTATGAACAGAACATTGTTAAATACATTGAGCCTTCAGCTTGCATCAGCAGGGCTTTTGAGGTGCAGGGCAAAAAGGAGTCTCGCGAGTTGAGTCTTGAGAAGGGCTCATTAGTTCTCAAAGCAGGGAGTGAAAAGTTGACCTCCCCAACTGATACAGAGCTCAAAGTGCACTACGCTATGCAGAGGAGGGCGCTCGCATTTCAGTTTGCGAATCTCATGAGCTATGCCCAACACAATGAGTGGTTCAGTTTTCTAGTTGACGCTCTTCATCGTGAGGCTCCACCGGGATTTCAGCGTCCAAGTCTTGCTCAACTTCTGCAATGCGACAGGGCAGCATGGACTCGACTAGCAAGCAGTCTTTCAACGATCCGTCAACGGGCTGATGGAACATATCCTCTAGGAGAAGCACTGCTCAACCTTCGTGCTGATCCAAACATTGTCCTCTACTTGTCGCCAGTTGCAAAGCTGATTTCAGTTTCATCGGAGTCCAGTTCATGGCGGGCTCAGCCCTACGGATCACAGAAGGGCTCGGAGCGGGGCATAGAGAAAGGAAAAACAAAGGGAAAGGGCAAAGGCAAGTCATCTGCCCCTTCAATGCCTGCGGAACTACGAGGCAAGTGGTACAAGAATGCTCAGGGAGAGCCGCTCTGCTTCGGCTACAACACTGCTGCAGGCTGCCAACATTCGAAGACAGTCCAAGATGGAGAGCGCTGTCCGAAAGGTTGGCATCTTTGTTGTGAACCTCGTTGCCAAGGCCCTCATCCATTGAGCAAGCATGGCAAGAGTGGGCAGTGATCGTTTGCAGTGCAACCCTTCAATGCATTGAAGTTTCAAGGAATTCACATAGAACAGTTGTTTATGATCGAAATCTCTGCAGGCTACGGCGTACTGTGTGCAACTGCCAAGCAGTGTGGACTTTTGGGCAGTATTGCTGTTGACAAGGTTCGCAAGTCGGGTGCTTACAGTTCCATTGTTCAACTGGACTTGAGAAACTTGGAGCACAATAATTTGGTCGCAGAGTGGATGCAATCTCCATTGTTTTGCTGGCTGCATGTGGCGCCTGTTTGCGGGACTGCAAGCAGAGCGCGTGAAATCCAACGGCATTGGTCTGACCCCAAGCCTCTCAGGTCGAATGACTTTCCGCGTGGCCTGCCTGACCTGTCGGAGAAGGATATGACCCGAGTCGATATTGCCAATGATTTGTTCGCATACAGTTGCAAGCGCTTTCAGGACGCAGCTGCTTGCAATATTTTCGTTACAATGGAGAACCCTTCGAATTCATATTTCTGGCTTACAGATTGGTTCACTCGCCTTAGGCAGAGTGTGGCTTTGACCATAACTGATTTTCAAGCTTGCATGTACGGTGGAAAGAGACCCAATGGTCGAGACTTGTTGGGAACTTTGACGAACTCTCTCAGATCAACGCCAGGTGTGACAATTCGCATCAACATGATCCTTGGCGATTTGCCAAAGCTGATGACGGCTCCCGTGTTTGGGCAACAAGTTTGGAGTCAAAGTATCCAAAACAGTTGTGCGTTGCCATAGTACAATGCATCCTACAAGCTCTACATCGTCAAGGCGCTGTTTTGCTGCCAGCTCAACTACAAGAAATTCACTCACACCCTTTGCATGCTGCTCACAATGCGCAGATTGCTGTGGGAAACCAGCCCAGGGGTAACAAACTACCACAGATTGTTCCGGATTTTTCTTCAGCAGCAACATTTGCAGTGGCATCTTTGAGTGACATCCCTTGCAGTCTATTGAGCAAGCTTTCCAAAGATGTTGCCGCCTTCACTTTGGAGGGCGCTCCAGTTACCATTCCTTGCCACTCTCGTTTTTTGCGCTCATTCCCCCTCTCGACTCTTTCCAAGGGGGGTACTTCCGAGGATCTTGAGGGGGCCAAGAAGAGAAAATTTTCAGAAGAAGGTGTGGGAGTCGTTTTTGGACTTCCCTGGGACTGCGAATCTTTTATACAACATGCGTGCAATTCTGGACATCCTATGGCCAATGCACTGGCCCTGTCGGACGACCTGGAGATTGCAATGGCTAAACAACTGGAACTCACTGAAGAGCAAATGGCGAACTACAGGATGTCCTGGTGCAGGAAATGGCTCAAAAGAGCTTCTCAACTGGCAGAGCAAGAAACAGCTGATCGTCTGAAGCGACCGGAACACGTCAGACAAAATACAGAAGCCAAACGCTTGCTACTCACTGAAGAGATCTTGCAAGACATTTCTTATGAAGACATGGGTGTGTTGGACATTCTTCGGCACGGGTCGACTTTGGTTGGGGATGTTCACAAGTGTTCGCTGTTCAAAGCACAGTACAAACCTTGCATGGCCACAGTTGAACAATTGGTTGCAGGTTCGGCCAAGAGGAATCAGGCAATAGTGAAGATGGCTGCATCGTGTGGCGAGTTAGAACTGGACCAGAAGCTCCTAGAGGAGACGCGTCTTGAGCTGAGCAAAGGTTGGGCAGAAGGTCCATTCGAGCTCTCCCAATTGGAACAGGGTTCGGTGATTTCAAGAAGGTTTCCACTTCGTCAAGGTTCCAAGATCCGTATGATTGATGACTACTCTGTCAGTGGGGTCAACGAGTGCACCTCCACCCATCACAAAATCGATTTGCACATGGTCGACACCTTTGCAGCTCTCATGAAAGAACTTTTTCGGCGCTGCGAGCATTTTGGATCTCATTCAGAGTTCCTCGCAAAGACCTATGACCTGAAGAGCGCCTACCGTCAAGTTCCGATCCGAGGTGAGCGTTTGAAGTTTGCTTACTTCTGCATATACAACCATGAGCTTGATAAATCGGAGATCTACAGAATGAAGACTTTGCCTTTTGGTGCAACACACAGCGTTTACAACTTCCTCCGATTGGCTCGTTCCCTACATAGCATTGCGTGTAGAGGTCTTTTTCTGCTGAAAAGTAATTTCTACGACGACTTCATTTTGGTTTCAAAGGAAGCAAATCAGAAGTCGGCACAACATGGTATGGAAATGATTTTTCTTTTGACTGGCTGGGAATTTGCTCGAGACGGCAAAAAAGCAACCGACTTCGCCAGGATTTGTCATGCCCTCGGAGTAGAGTTTGACCTCAGTCTTGCTCGCGACCGTATCCTGTCCATTGGTAATACAGAAGCACGAAAGCAGGAGTTGATCGAGCACATCGATCGAATGCTAGTCAACGGTTGCATGTCGAAGCATGAATCCCTCGTCCTTCGAGGGAGGTTAGGGTTTGCTGACAGCTTTGTTCACGGAAGGTTGGGCAAGATGTTTCTGAACAGGATTGTTGAACACGCCTATGGCACAGAAGCTCGCATTGGCAAGCCTCTCGAGAGTGCGCTGACCTGGATGCGCCACCGACTTCTCACCTGCAAGCCCAAGAGAATAGACTCGACTGATCTGCAGCAATTCTTTGTTTACACTGATGCGGCTTTTGAACCAGAAACCTCCACCGGAGGCTTGGGCGCTGTACTGGTGAGTGAAGCTGGCATTTGCATTGCTAGGTTTGGTATCTTCCTTGATTCCAACTTGTGTGAAGTGTTTGGATCCTCTCGGAAAGACACGATCATTTATGAGCTGGAGCTTTTGAGTGCAGTCTTTGCTCTCAGATTCTGGAAGAGGTTTGCTTTTGGAAACCTGACGGTGCACTTTGGAGACAATGATGCAGTGCGTTTCGCGCTCATCAAAGGAAGCGCACAAGGAGAGATTGGAAATGCTTTGATTTATTTGCAGCTCGAACTTGAGTCTGAACTCGGTTCGCATCTTTGGTGACTGAATGTAATCTCAGTGACCGCCCCTCTCGCTTTTCAGTGCATCCGCTCCTTAAGGACGAACAGTGTTGCACTGCAGAAGCTGGCAAAGAGTTCTTTGAGTTTTTGCACACCTTTCGTCAGACGATAAGGGCCAAGCAATTTTAAATGGGGCAAGGAGTGCTTGGACCCCAGACTTTTGTAGAAAAGGTGTGCGCAGCTTTGAGTTTTACTTCATGCCATCAAACGATTCGAGACTGATAAGCTCGTCGAAGACGATCGTTCGGTCTCGAGAGAGTTTAAGCGACATCAGGAGCGGATGGCATTTTCAATTTGCAATGTTTGGATAAAGGGGTGGGGGGGGGGGGCTTGCTTTTCTCCCGGCCGAAAAGTGAGCCCACCCACCCAACCCTTTTTGCCCCAAGCTTCCACTTTCAAGTTCCGCTGGGGCTTTGATGACAGCCAAAAAGCCAAGCCCTCAGCCCAAGGAGTGCTTGGACCCC